GCCCCCTTCCCTAAGTAATGGGCAGGGGATTCAGCCCCCATATTCCACAGGTGTCCTGAGATTCACATGTATCTTGGGATATCCACAGAAAAGGCAGAAACATCTGTCTGAAGGACGTGGGTATGGCTCCCCCATTCTCCAAGATATCACAGCTCAGGAGATATACATTGTTTTCACTCTCAGCAATGGCTGCATACAAATTCCCCTAAGGGTGTTTGTGGTGCAGCATCAAAGGCCTGTTTCTGCTTGGACCCCTGGAGAGCATATAGCAGTGTATGGAAGTTGCCCTGCTCCTTTCTACCTCCACTGCTCTCTCACTACTGCCTGTTTGGTGGGTCCCCAGGTGCAGTGAGCTACCATCCACTCCATATGTTCCCCACTGTGGTCAATTTCAGTTTCTAAACTGGCAGTGTAAATATCAAATATTTCGCTGTTGCATATCTTGGCTAATCTCAAACCAAAGTAGAGCCTTCTGAAACTATATGTCTTACATGCATCTGACGAAGTAGGTATTCACCCACGAAAGCTTATGCTCCAATACATCTGTAAGTCTTAAAGGTGCCACAGGACTCTCTGTTGCTTTTTACAGATCCAAACTAACACAGCTACCCCTCTGATATATGTCTTACAGTTTGCTAAATCTTTCAACAACAGTACATTTTGCTTTTCTATTGCACCTTCCATCCAAGCATCTCAAAATGTTTTCCAGGCATTAATGAATCAGACCGATTAATGAATAAGGATTTTACAAGGAAACTGTGACAGAGAGAGGTTAAATGAGTTGACTAAGGTTACAAAGCAAGCCAGACATGGAGTTGAGAATATAATCCCTGCTTCCTGATTCTTGCCTTTAATTGCTCAACAACACTCTCTTGTATGTATAATATAATTTTAAAAACCATTTCAGTCTTCTTTGTATAGCTCATTTAAACCAACATTTCTTCCCCCACCTAAATTTAATTGATGTATGTTTTCACTGAGGAAAAATAATCAGTGTATATTATTTTCACTTTAAGATTGTTTGCAGGGCTACAGTGTTATGATACATTATTTAATGTAACAAGATTTTTTGATGATGCCACAAGAATTGTTTACACTCTAGTTAGTGTTTTCAAAAGCTAATAGACTATATTATCCTGTAATAACAGACCAATTATACATCTCTTTTAGGCAGGATATTTTTCTCCAAAATTTGCTTTTATAATTATACACACCTCCATTAAGACTGCAGAGTATAGTCTCAATAAATGGAAAGGATTCACTAGAGAGAATACTTATTAAAATGTGCAGGCAGTTCTGCATTTTAAAAAGCAAAGCTGTACTTCTCAAAGCCTTCTGCATCTACAGAATATAAATATTGAGTAGTACATCAGGTATTTAAATAAGCCAATCACAAAAGGATTTTTAAAGCTGATTTTATCTTATGTTATTTCTTTTCTTTGTCTCCTTTCTTTATTGCTTTTTAATTCTCTCTGTTTCCCCCACTATTGCTCCAGATGTCTCACTCTTTCACTTTGCTCTTCTAAACAAGTCATACTCTTCTGTAGTGACATACCGCTCCTGAGTATGGTCTCATTATGGCATGGACAATACTAGGATGAGAGCCATACTTGCTATCACCATGTTTAAACAAACTACCATAGCATATATTTTGTGTGTGTCAGTTGTGGGTTGATGTTGTTTGAACACGGTTTCTCTGGAACTGAGTTTGAAATGTATTTAAACTCTGTTTTGAAGCCAGTGTAGACAGGACTTTCAATCCCAATATTGTATCCCCAATCTTTTGCGAAGCCTCCTCTTTTGGTTTCTCCTGTTCTCATTCAATTGCTTTACTTTTTCTATCAGTTCTGACTGTACTTCCTAGATCCCAATTTGGTATTATGTCGTGTCTCTTTCCTGTGTCCTTCCCTCATAATACGCCTTATTTGTCTCTCTGGGCACTATCGGTGAAATTCTGTCCCCATTCAAATCAATGGGAGTTTTGGCATTGACTTCAGTGGAGTCAGAATTTCATCCTACCTCCTTACTCTGACCGTGCTCCACTCTGGGCTCGTTTAAAACCTTCTTGCAGAGGTTCCTCTTGCCAAGAATTCAGTACGCTGGTTCTCCAGCTGATCAAGGAGATTCTATGCTCTCATCTTTCCTTCCACAAAAGAAGACCCATGTGATATGAACCTGAACCCCTTCAATCAGGTCTGTCCCCTCCCTGATTCGGGATTTTAGGGCCACTCTACAATAGGCTTTTTTAACAAACACTCACCTATTCCAAGCTGGGGGTGAGGGGGGTGAGAAAAATCCAAGACAATTTGGAACTAACAAGACACTTGCAAAACTTCACTGTTCAGTTGCACTGCTTTTCTTGCTTCCTATCCCCTTCTTGTGTTCTCCTTGGATGGTAAGCTCTTCGGTGCAGGGACCGGTCGTTTCCTCATTTTTCTCTGTAAAGCATCTAGTGCGCTGCTGACACTATTTAAATCATCATCATCATCACAATCCATTGTCATAAAGAATACAGATCTCAATGGGAAGGTGGGGGAAAGACTTAGAGGGTACAGTGAATATTAAATAAGTCCTAAGTGTGCTATGAGATGTGGTTGCAAAAATAACCAGTGACATTCTCTGGCTATATGTCTTGTACAGAGGATTCTCATGCAAAGGAAAGTAATAACTGCTATACACAGCATTGATGCAACCACATTTTGGCAGAGACTGCACCATTCTGAAGTCACCACTAAATTAATACTAGAATAGACCAATGGAGGGAACTGAGGCACTATCACTGGAGCGGGCATTCAAAAGGAGGTTAGATAAAACTCATGTGGGAATGAAGTAGGGAAAAGTTTTGCCTGATGTGTAATGTCTGAATACTTGACTCAGAGAGTCTTTTTCATCCCTTCATTTCATGATTCTGTGGCACGCCAATTTAACGGAAATGGCCCCCCTCCTAATTTTTTTATTTTGTGGCATCATTTTATTTTCAGACTAGACTTAAAAACAGAGGTTCTGGTCTGCATGGCCATTAACAACCCAGGGCACTTTTCATAAAAGTATGGACTTTGTTCTGAAATGACCCCTCTCCAAACAGCTCAGCAGCATGCTGGGTGTTGATTTGTGGCCACTCTCCACCACGCAGGTGGCTGCATTTCAGTGGAGCTAAATATTGTTTCTAAAGTACTTTCAGACCCCTTGGGAGGAAAGGTGCTGTATAAACATTAGACATTTTTATTATTACCAACTCGTCAAAAAGTGAAACGGTGATATTTTCAGTTAACTTTTACTGAGCATGAAGTGCCTGGTTATCTTGTGCATATGAGCTTAATTAGGTGCTTATGAATATCACAGTATTGTGCAGGGGTGTGGCTAGAATGATGGTCCGTATGAGGCATCTCTGCAGCGGGTCCTCCTAGCTCTGCTCAGGGAAAAAGGAAGAGTCTGGAGCAGGTAGAAAGATTTTTATTTTTTGTTTGTTTGTTTTACGGATATTTTTCATGGAGTCTTTCAGTTCTAGGTCACGGGCTTGACTTCCACTCAGGTCAGCAATGGCCAAAAATCACTACCCTCGGATGGCTGTTCGGTGGCCTTTGTGAAATTAGTTTGTTGTTTAAGAGTCCCAGAGGTAGCCACTTTACAAATAGCTCCTCAGTTCATGTTCATTGGCTAGATTAGTAGCATTCGCATCAGAGAGAGGCCAAGTTCTAATGGGACAGGGAAACTGAATTATTCCCTCTTCCTCAAGAAAAGCTTTGGGGTACATTAGTGGGCTGGTGGGAGGCTGTGCCTGTTGCTGTACTTGTTTTGTAATGTCTGGTTGGTCTGCAGGGTTATCAGTCCCTCACCTTTCACAAGCACCATTTTTTGTTCATATTTTTCAACATCTGCCTTTTTACCACAGAGGCATCAGAGCTTTGCAAATTGCACAGGCAAATATAGGTCCACATTTATCCTTGGCATAAGCAAGTGCAACTCCATTGACTTCAGTGACTTTAGTTGAGGTGACTTCAATGGAGCTGCGTCTGCTTATGCCAAGGGTGAATTTGCCTCATGGAATGTGATACTGTTGACATCATGGCACATGGTGCACTGTTCACATACCTCAAAAAAGGGAGAATTGTTTCTGCCTTAACCACACTTTGATGTCACTGATATCTATGGTTTGAGATTAGGTGTTAGGGCTTTTAATAAGTTCTGTTCTGTAGTATGAAAATTATTTTCAAATGATAAACATTTGTTTCTTATATGTGTTTGAGTGATTAGATAATCTCTCGGAATGTTACTGTTGTTTTTGAATGAATGTATATCTGAGTTAGTCCATTTGGTAGGACAGTACAGTGGCTTTATTTGCCCCTGAAAAAGTGCATTACAGTTAAACTAGTCTTGTGCTTCTTCTGCATTATAGGCAGAGGTTCAAAACTTAAAACAGTTCAACAGCCAGGAGTTACATTTGCAGAACAAATGCAATACGTTTCGAGATGTCATTGCAGACATCTTGATACTGTCCATTGTTTTGACAGTTAGAAATGGAATTTTCCTTATAGAAAGGCCCTATAATATTTTATATAAAATAAGCTTTCTATATAGAGGTTTTTATACTAACCTACAGAATTCTATAGATAGAATTTTCTATTGAATTTAGTTGTTTTTAAAGTAATTTCTATAGACCTCTGCTTAATTTCTCTGGAACGTTCTTGACTTCATCTCTATACAATTCTACTGGACTTTCCTATAAAAGTTATCCCCAGAATGGACAATGACAGCATGAGAGACTTAAGGGTATTCTGAAAAGTTAATGAGGGACATTTTTGAGTATCTGACTCAGCTGCAATATTGTGTTATAATTATATTACATGTGTTTGTTTTATAAAAAAACAACATAGATATCTTTTGAGCTCCAAACACATGGTCTTGAAACATACACAGCAAGGTCTGACTGTGACAGCAACTGTCCATAGTGTCTAAAATGACATTGATCTTTTCTTTTCTCTCTCTTTTATTAACTCTAGGTGTTCTCTGCCTGCCAGACAGTCTGAACCTTCACAAAGACCAACAAAGGTCAAATAAGCCTGGCGAAGTACAGATGTTTAGCCAATCAGAGTTAAGGACCATAGAGCAATCCTTGCTCGCTACCCGGGTGGGAAGCATTGCCGAACTCAGTAAGTGCAACATAATTTGTTATTTTTTCCTCTTAAAGTAAAACAAAAAACCCGATGTATTATATGTTTCTATAAAAGACAGGCTGGAGCCTAGGAGTGCTGTCAAGGGAGACTTCTTTAATAGTGGGAAGAAGGAGGGCCTTGTTTGCTCCACAGCGATCCCACTGCTCAGTTTGGAAGCTGAAGGGTGGTACAAGGCCTTGGAAGAGAAGAGAGTGAGTGTGTAGATGATACTCACAAACATACAAATGACTCCATTAGAATTTCAGAAGATCCTTCATCCCCACTTTCTCTCCCCCCTACTTCCAGTGGGAGAAAAAACAAAATAAAACTTATAGAACACAAATCAGCTGCCTGGAAAATAAATTATTTGTTATTAATCAAACACTTTTGGGGCAATATGATAAGCTGCTATACCTGTCACAGTTCTAAAGCTTTGATTTCAGTACAAATACATTATTTACAGTTCTCTGAACACCACAGACATGTTTTGTTGTTAGGACGCAAATGCTTTGTGAATCCTAATGCAATGTAAAAACTCAGGGGTTGAAGGTGCGTTTCTTTTTAGGGTTTCCCTGAAGGCAGAAAGCTGATATCACATGTTTATACTGTATCCTCAAATTCAAATATTTAGCTGATTTGGTAGCTCTATTCATAGTTGTAGTAAGGGCTGCTTTGGAATGAGGAGCTGTAGCAGCACATTCCAAGATGGTGCGGTGGGTCTGGCAAATATATATAATAAATATATATATACATATATATAGTTGACAAAAAACACAGACAAATTATTCTTCCAGATGTAGCTGGAAAAAGGTACCCCCCAAGCAGGGTGGATTGATTAAAATCCAGAAGATTCAAATCAGCGATTTAAATCATTATTTAAACCACCAAATGGAAAGCCTCAATTTAAATCATCCATTTCAATCAACTTTTCTGTTTGTACTTCGGTTATTTTCTAAAGAAAGGGTGCATTGTCATTAATTAATATAACCATTAAATATGCTGATTTACAACTAAATAGAGCTTTTATATAGATTTGATACTTCTTTTTATTACGTAACTATATACATTTATATGTAGGCGAGTACACTATAACTATATACATTTATTTAAGCAATTATATAGCTTAACTTTTTCAGATTCTTATTAATTGTACGTTTTTAGTATGTTAGAAAATGGTGACTGATAGACTGCTTATTTGCTAGATAATTCACTTTTTGCTCATGATTTGTGTCAAGCGATATTAGGATAGTAACTGGAATTTAATTAAACCCACAAAACAGCATATCAAACTTAGAAAATTAAAATTAAACAAAACAATCTTAAAGTTTTGGATACATAAACTTCTCTTCTCAAAACACGTCTAACATTTACAACTAAAAGATTAGAACAGATAGTAGATAATGTTTTCACCCCTCAGCTCACAAACAGAGGGATTAACTGTAGTCAGAAAATTAAACTGATTATTTCAGGTCAGCCTGGAAAAATTTTCAAATATTCGTTAGTAAAAGGGCCTGGAGCTTAAGTTCCTACATTCCTAAGTCTCTTGAAAATGAGACAGTCTCCTAAGATACTTAGGCTGACCCACTGTGCCATATTTATAAAGCTTGACCTCAAAAGTTAGATGTTATTCCTGATTCTTTCTTTATATCAAAAAGCAGCCTCTAACTCAAAGTTTTTGATAGAGACTCGTAGATTTAGTTTTATTTAAATGTTTTAAGAGATTATAATAAATAAAGGCCTCAATATATTTTATATTAAATTCAGGTTTCATTTTAAACAGGTTTATTTTTAAAAAGAAAAATGTATTATATTTTAAATAACAAACTCAAGAAAATTGGATTTAAATAAAAAAATCATTGATTTTTATCCACCCTGCCCTCAAGTCAATGGGAGCTGTGTGCAGATATCTGAACACATAATTTGGTGCCTTAAGCATATAGATAGCATTCAAAGAGAGTCTCGAAGCAGGGAGCCAGTGAACCTCTCCTGCCACCATGTGAACACATGCCATAGAAGAAGAGTTAGTAGTGTGTGTGTGTGTGTGTTAGGGTTACCATACGTCCAGATTTTCCCGGACATGTCCGGCTTTTTGGGCTCCAAATCCTCGTCCGGGGGGGAAATCCCAAAAAGCCGGACATGTCCGGGAAAATGGGGGCCGGCGGTGCT